TTTTAGGTTTTCAACCCGTACTGTAGCGACAAATTACTATTTTGTCCCTTTCGTAAAAAGTTCAAATTTTCTGGGTTTTACACAAATGATAGTAGGAGTGTTGAATGATCCCTACTTCAATACTGTGTGAGCCACATGGATTCTTTTCCTACATATATCCTTGTTGATTTGTGACTTTGTCATGAATAGGGTGCACAATGTTGCTACTTCAATCTGTACCCTAGGATCATGATTATTGCGATCTCTCGGCAGCATGACTAAGAAAGTAGTTCAGTTGACTTGGATTGGCATCAGGGCCAAGGAAGGTTATTTGATGATAAACCATGTTTTGTGACTCATTGCCTAGGCAACTTTTTCATATTTGTTTTTTCGATAAATAATGAGTGCATTACATAGTTCGAGTTTAGCATTACTTATTTTTAGGGGTGAATAGTGCTATATCAAGTGTAATCGAATGGTCTATGATAGTACAAGATGCTTTCGAGTGATGTACTATGTTAGTTTGGCAATAACCTAATATACTACTTCTCTTGTTTGCATACGTTTCTAGTGAGGTCGCATGTTCCATTTTCTGTATGAGGAGATGAGTGAAAGAGAGTTTTTGGGGGACAATGTAAAACCAGAGAAATTTAAAATTTTTCTGAAAAAGGGTAAAATAATAATTTGTCACAACAGTGCGAATTTGAGATACACATTTCTCTAGGCCTCAGATGAGGAAACAGACTTCTCCATTGGACTCGTATAGCGGAGACTAGTTACCCTACCAAATTTTGTCGAATTCTTAGATAGTCAAATTTTTACACGTAGTTCGAGATGGCTAGGTGCCGAGTGACCTCACGAACATCCCCATAAATATATTTTATAAAAATTCCTAATAATTGGATTAAAATTCAAATAAAATTAATTTGAACTTAAACCAGGATATAATGAATCATTTCGAGACGAAAAACGGACCTGAAAATATAAAAACCTGCGGCGCGACGTGCACTGCACATTCGGGACTATAAATATCGACCTAAATCAGATATATTGGGGGAGATATTTCATTTGTTCAGCACACCAAACGTGTGAGGAGAGAGAAGAGAGAAAAGAGAAGAAAAATCAAGATCTTCAGGCTTCTCCCTTCGATTCTCGGAGTTCCGTCTGTCAGATCAACTCAGACCAAGAGTTAAAGTCGATCACCGTAACGAGGGCTACATCTATGTACCAAGAAAAGTGAATTTTACCAAAGATCCAAGAGGGAACTTTGGAGAAATCAAAGGTTCTTGGGCTTTGGTTGGTGTTCTTGGAAGTTCTACTACTTTCTACACGCTACAAGAGGTAGGGTTCTTCCTACTTTGTATTTATTCCTACCTTTTGAGTTGATTTAAGGGGCTGAAATTGTGACTATTTTGGGTTGAAATTGTGGGCTGTTTTGGGCTAGAATTGTGGACTGTTTTTACGGTTGTTATGGGGCTGTTTAGGGGCTGTTTTGTGGCCTGTCTAAGGGCTATTTTGTGGCCTGTTTTGGGGCTGCTCTGTGGTCTATTTAAGGGCTATTTTGGTGGCCTATTTTGGGGCTGCTATGTGGTCTATTTAGGGGCTATTTTGTAGCCTATTTTGGGGCTGCTATGTGGCCTATCTTGGGGCTGTTATATGGCCTGTGTTAGGGGCTGTTTTGTGACCTGTTTTGGGGCCGTTATATGGCCTGTCTAAGGGCTATTATATGGCCTATTTTGGGGCTGCTATGTGGCCTGTTTAAGGGCTATTTTGGTGGCCTATTTTGGGGCTGCTATGTGGCCTTTTTTGGGGCCGTTATGTTGCTTGTTTAGGGGCTGTTATGTGGCTTGTTTTGTGGGCATGTTATATGTTTACATTATGCCTTGAGAATTAAGTGTGTTATTGCTTGATTATGTAATGATATGCTTGGTTGTTGTTGTTAGATAATATGTTGATATATGTGTATTAATATATTGACATTGTAATGAGTTTTTGGAGGTTATATGCGTATTATATAAATGTACATGAAACATGATGAAATGTGTGGTTTAAATTTGCCTCATTGGCATCCATTACATTGAACATGACATTGATTGAGCAAATGTGCATCACATTGCATTTGCATGGGGAAAATGCATCCATGACCATGAGTATGGGTGTGTGAGAGCATGGTTGGATCAATCACCATACTTGGTGTTTGATGGGTGGGCTTGGGAAAGTGGGGTTGAATATCCTACTGAGTCGCACGATTGCATACATGGAAAACTTCTATCGGGTACAGCAAGAAGGGCTAGACTCTCCCTCGGGTGGAAGACCCAGCTACTTGGTTCATACACTCCCCTAAGGTGAAATTCCAAAAAAGTGTATTGGTTTGCAGAACCTATGGTGCGATTCCAAAACTCCGCTACCCAACAAAGATACATGATTTTGTTTATAAAAATGCCTGGTTCGTACACTCCCTTCAGATGAAATTTCAGAAAAGTGTACTTGTTTTATAAAGTATTCATTCGATGGGAAACATCCAACAATGAATTGATTTTATAAACACAATGAATTGTATTTCAAAAACGATCATTAGATGTATTTCATCAATGACAAATGTTTTACACATTTACATTGCATTATGTTGTGGGAGTCGGTGAGGACTCGGGTTATGATGTATGAGTGAGTTTCATCTCGTTTCATAGCATGGCATGGTAAAATTCCAATCTGAAATTGCATATTCTTACTTGGAATATTGATGTGAATATGAATATTTGAATGTGAACATTGCATGTGCACTTAGGTGGGCAGTAGCCTCTGTAGGAATTACTTTGTTGGGCGTGGCTCACCCTATACAAAAATTCATTTGAGGTGTAGGATATAAACCGGTAGACAGCTCTCATTCGGGGCCGCAAGGGTGAAGAAAGTTGACTTGTGGCTTTTATAACTCCTTTTGTAAAACTTTTGGAGTAAACTAGTTTTGACATGTAATTTTATGTAAGATAGTTGTAATTTAACTCATATGGACTGTTTTTAATATAACCTTTCATGTTTTTATATGAGTATGGATGAATGGACCTGGTGTGGTCAATTTTTACTCATGAATGAATCCAGTGTGGTCATTGTGTTATATCGGGCCTCGGATTGGTCGTGTTAATGTATATTGTATATGTTGAGTTTTGGGTAGAGCTTCCCGTATAAAGGAGACTCTGCCCAAATTTTGTTAAATTAAGGACCCCCGATTTCTAGGGTGTCACAGACAACTTACCCTATATGGGTAAGTGGGAGATGTTACTATTTTATGAGTCGGTATTTGGACCCGAAGTTGAACCTTGATCCACCCACATGGGGAAATTGCGCTTGACCCAGTAATTTGTGTTAGTTAGGGATGCGCCTCTATCTCCTAATCAGTTTAGGAGATCATGGAATCATACTTACTAAGTGGTTACAACCATCTATAAATATATATGTCTCTAAACATCTAAGAGGGACATACAATACACCTCTCTCATCCGTCTATATTATCTCTCTTGGTCTACCACCAATGACCCTTGGATTTGTGAATGTGGTATTGCAAGGAGCAACATTGCCAACCACACCTTTGCCTTGACGAGATTTTGGTGTGCGAGGAAGTAGCGAGATCGTGATTTGGGTTTGGCATATTCGGGCTCATAACAACAAATGACGATTCAGTTATTTTTTTGGGTTTGCCAAGAAGTAAATCGAAAACTCATTGTGTTGTGTATGATTAAATTTTAAAATAATCTACCAAAAAAGGTATTAAAAATAAAAATTATATTTGAGAAATTTTTCATCCCAAAATTTGGACAAGAAAGAAGGAAGAAATCAAAATATATAACTTACCACAAAAAAAAATATTAATATGTATATATATAAGGGAAAAAGGCAAAACGAAAAAACGAAACCAATGAAGTTAATGGAGTCCAACAGATGAACATCACGTTAAACACACGTGTATGTCACTAATATCGTCACTTCATATGAAGGTGGCCACTCCATTTGGCCAATACGTAACTCAATTAGAGCACGAAACGACCGCCATATAGATTAGTGCTGGCACACATTAAAAAGGCATTAGTGCGTGCCGGTCGGACCACCTCTTGTATCCTGCTCCCCACATCTTTTCCAAAAAATGCCCAGTCAGACCTCACTCTCTTCCAACCTTTATGCTTTTACATAATGGGCCTTGCATTTGTTCCCCATTACCACAATGCCATTGGAGTTTTTTCAGTCGGTCTAACAAGTGGTAGTTGATGAAAGTTACTTTCAAAATCAAAAAGAATAAAGGCATCTTAGCTAGTTGAATAGGTTTTGTTTTCTACTGAATGAGACCTGATGATATTTCCTATGTTCTTAAAATTTCGTAGATAGTTTGCATGGGTTCCAATATTATTTATTGACATCGCTCGCTCCTGCTTCCGTGTGTAAGAGTCAATTATCTATAGAATAAAACATAGTGTCTTGCTTGCATAAACCACAACTTTATAACTAATCTTTGGATTTACATTTTTAATTTTTAATTACAAATAATCTATCTATTTTATATTTAATCTTTTAATCATAATAAATATTGATGATGCACAAATTGGTATTGTGCAAGATCAACAGTCGAGTATATGTAAGGGTGTAAGTAATGAGTAGTGAATAGACAATCAATAACAAAACAGTAAATAAGAACAAACAAGCAAATTTACAGTGGTTCGGTCCGAGTGATCTACTCCACTCTCGGGAACGACAGCGGTGGCCGGAGGTGTTTTATTGATGAATAATGTGACCGGGAGAGTAACTCTGTGTGTATTACAAAGCTTGGGGGAGAGAGAGACAATGTGCGTAGAGAGACATGTGTGAGGTCTGAATGTCTTGTTCTTTATGTGGAAAGAGCTTTCATTATATAGGTTTAGTAAGACGGTGAGATGGTGACGTGAGGAAGAGTGCTTCTACTATTTTGGTAAATACAATTATGGTAACATTAGGCCTCTGTACACATCCCAATATTCTCTCCTCGTGCTCCTGTTCTGTCAAGAGGAGGATTCTGAGCTAGGTTGGACTTGAGTTGGAGTGGCAAAGTCAAGAGGGCGAAGGACTCTACGGTTGCGCAGGAAAGGAAGCGTTGAACTAAGGAGGGAAGAGATCCCCTTGGGCGGCGCCCCTCTGGGGTGTCCCCCTTGGGCTCTTCCTTGACTTGATGACTTGGGTTCCGAGATGACGTGGGCCTCTCTTGATTTATGGAGCCTATCCCAGTTAATTTCGGGCTCATCCAGTATTTTAACCGTACTTACCATTTAACCACAAAATATACTATAAATAAAATACAATACAATTCAAATAACAAAAGATAAACAAAAATGACTTGTTTTTTGCGGTTGAGATCTGTTTAAATTTTTTTTAAAAGTTAATTAATATTAATCTCCAAATTTAATATAAACAACAGACCTATAAGGGTGTGTTTGAAATAATTTTTAAAAATATTTTTAGGGCTTACAACCTTTCATAAATACGTTAAAAAAAAACAGTATTTGAAACTGCCCTACCACCACAATTACCACTACCACCCCCACCACCATCACCACTACCACCACCACCACCCCCACCGCCCACCACCATCACCACTACTACCTCCATTGTCACCCCACCACCACCGTCGCCACCACTTCTACCACAACAACAACCACCACCACCACTGTCGCCTCCCCTACCACCACCATCAACACAGCTGCTGCCACCCTACCACCACCACCACCACCACCACCCCACCATCATCTCTTCCACAACAACCACCGCCCCACCACTACTATCCCCCACCACCACAATCGCTGCCGCCACCTTACAACCACCGCCACTGTCCCACCATCACCCCTACCACCACCACCATTAACATTGCCACCCACGACTGCCACCATCACAACCGGTCATCGTCTCCCACCACCACCACTGCTACCCACCACCACTCACCCCCACTACAATTGGTGATTAAATTTCTTTTTCTCTTCGCTATCTTTATAATTTGACTTTGAGTGTGAATAAATCGGTGACCTTGTTTTTATTACTTCGTGCCTTCAGGCATGAGAAATAACTAGTATACTATATGATACCTTTTGAACAAGATAGCCTCGTCTGAAAATGGACAAAAGAAAATTTATAAAATTAACTGTGCCGATAGCTAGGTTGGTTGTTTACATGTATTTGTCCAATTATAATACTGAAAATTAATTTTTTTTTTTTTTTTTTGTATTATAGTTAATTTCTCATTTAATAAAATATAGATAGGGTTTTTTTTAAATTATTATTTTATTGTTATTTTTTTTTTACGATTAATGATTATAAAGAAACTATACGGTACAGAAAAAAGGCGGTATCAATCCCAACATTTCATGATCGATCATATCCTTTGAAGTTGTAATTTTTGAAATGGCAGTTCCAAGATCCGTTAAGTGTGCGTACAATTGATTACAAAAATTTTACTCGTTTATTAACCCAACCAAGCGGAATTAGGGTTTACATTTGACTAGCAGATCCGCAAGAACGAATAATAGATGCAGATCAAATAGCAAGCTAGATGAACCTCATGATCTTCTACGGTATATCCTTCGACGCCAACAATTCAAATGGAATGTGGGTTGCAATCCTCCAAATTTTCTCCCTTACTCTCTCTCTGCCCCCTTTTCTTAACGTTAAGGTAATGGTTATGGTTAAGAGAACTAGGAAGTGCATTTATTTATAGGCTACAGTAGAAACCTTAAAGATAAATAAGGGTTAAGCTTCCAATGGGCTTAGGAATCTATGTCCAACCCATATAAAATAGCATATTGTTCATTAATAATAAGTTAATCTATTAAAAACTTATTATTGATCTCTTGGGCCTTGTCTTAAAATTATATTTCGAACTCCTCATTATTCTATACTTAATAATCTCCCTAAATTTTAAATTATAAGTGTCCATCAATTAATAAAATTACTGACAATTATATTTAATTAACTTCTTTTTATCCTTAAGATCTTACTACTCAATTTATTTGTCGTGTCGAATAATTAAATCCACCAGCAGGGTTTGAAATTGACAAAACTTATAAACTTTCTCAAAAGGACATCATAAACCCATTTAAATACAAAGAAGTGGTTTCCTTTAATAATTATTTCTACCATATAAATAATGTCATCTCCCATTTCATTGAGTTTTTTTGATTCAAATATGAATTTCATTTTTTTATGAATTAAAGTAACAATTATTAGATGCACATGTCAATTAAATATCTCAACATTAAGAGCTTAAACAATTATAATAACCATGAGGCATTTATTTTCTTAGGTAGTCAGTAAAAAGAAAAAATAATCTCAATAATGTTCATGTCCAATACAAAAAGTATACTAGTGCAACAATCTGAGACATCAAATAGTCTGTTGTTGCCAAGACTAACTATGTCAACTGATTGAACTACAATCCTACTGATGGTGTGTCCAATGTCATCTAAAACTGTGAACCTTTTTCTTATATCATAAAAGAATCTGGTAATCTGATCTTATGTGTATAAGGCAAACTATACACTATTAGATTATCTACAATCTAAAATAAAAGACACACATGCATATAATATATACAATAAAAATATTTTACCCACACAGATTCTTATTGAAATAAGAAACAAATAAATTTTGTTAAATAATAAATTGAGTTTGATTTCAAAAAACAAGCTTTTAGTATATAACTCTATCAATTCACCCACTTATACTCAAAGTCATGTTGTAAAGCATCGAACTCCTATTCCCTCCACATGACTATCAAAAGTCTTTGTTGGAAAGATCTTGGTGAAGGGATCTACCAGGTTATTAGTTGATACAATCTTACTCACCAGTACATCACCTCTTCCCACGATATCTCGTATAAGGTGGTACTTATGCTCAATGTTTTTTTCCTTCTTATGGGTTCATGGATCCTTTGAATTAAAATTGCTTTGCTATTATCACAATAAAGTGTAATACCCGATCTTATTGAAGGTACCACTTCTAAATCCATAAGGAAGTTTTATAAGCCAAACTACCCTTTGGCTGCCCTAGAGTTTGCCATGTATTCGACGTCCATATTGGAATTTAGCAATAAAGTGTTGCTTGATACTCTTCCAACTTATAGCCCCACCTCCTAGAGAAAAACATATCTAGAAGGTAAACTTTTTGCAAACTTTATCTGATTGAAAATTAGAGTTTGTGTACCCAAGGGGTACTAGACTATCTACCTGGTCAACCAAAATATAATATCTCATCCTTTTTAGGTACATGAGAATATGTTTTACCGCAGTCTAATGTTTTTGCCCATGTTAGACTGATATCTACAAACCATGCCAACGGCAAAACAGATATGAGGTTTTGTGCAAAGCATAATGCTTGATGGTTTTCCCTAACCTCCAAACACGAACCCGAATTATGTGTATATGGCATATAGAGATTGGTGAGTGTCACTCTCCCTTGAGTTCAATGCAAGAAGTGGAAAAATTGTGTGTGGATGTACAAAAACGTGCGTGTGTCCAAAAGTACTTCCCAAGCGTAGAGAGACTTGCAATGTCGTGTTTTACTTGGAATGAGTATTCCAAGGTCGTCCCCTCAAGAAAGGCTAGATCGAATGTTTTCGAAGAGTGATTTGTAAAATGGAAAAATGGAAAATATTGTTATTTGAAGTTTGATGGTTTGTGTTTTGGGAAATATGCAAGCAAAAAGAGGGTTGGCTAATCTATAGAGTTCATTCCAATGGGTATGCCAAATTGACTTATTTCATTCAACCAATGGTGTCTCGATATTTGATGGATTCGTAGGAAGTGAGAGACTAATGTAGTTGTGTTGGGCAAAAGCATACCCCGTGATAAGTCTAAGGTGTATCAAAAGCTCACAACTATATCTGTACTCAAACTAGTCAAACCAAACACTTTACACTACAAGGAAGAATAAAAGAGAGTCAATTTCACATACCCAAGAGGAAATCCCTTTTGGGTTAGCCAACTAAAGTTTTAGCTATGCATGGTAAAGGCAAGAACAAACATGAAAGAGAAAAACATGTAATAAAATAAAAAATGAACTTGCATTAATGTAAGGAGAAGTTCAAACTATTAATGAAATGACATTCATGCTCAAAATGCGAAGTTTGAAAACAAAATACCCAAATGTAAATATGAGTACAAGGACACCTAGCTAAACTTGATTACAACTTGAATAAAAGAGATTAGAGTGCAAAAGAATAGGATTACAAGTTAAATGGAGCTTACTATAATGAAAATGGTGAAGGAAAATGTAAAAATCCAACTTTTGTCTCCAAAACTTCATCTTCTACCTTGGAGCTTCTCTCTCTAAAAGTCTTCTAATATGAAAATTATGTGAAGCCTCTCTCCCGGAGCATGAGTGACTGACTTGGAGTGATTGAAGAGAGGTTGTCCACTCAAAGAAGCAAATTTAGTCAAAGCATGGTTCTCCCATGCTTTTCCAACCACCCCTCTCTTTTTTTCCTCCCCACTTCCTCATGCTTCAAATCTGAGTTTTTTGGGGTTAGGAGATCATCATGGGGTGTCAAAAATGTTAGGGCATGATATAGACGACAAAAGGTGGGCACCCATGGTTGGTGGAATTGTGTGGAGATATGTCTGTGCTTTTCTTGGCATGTTCTACCTGTAGATCGTGGGTAAACTATAGGTTGGTTTTTTCCAATAGGCTTTCTTACCGATAGGTTTTGTAGGGACATAGATAAAATTTTCCCAAAAATAGGGGTTTCTTTATCACCCCGTTGATCACCCATTAACCCACAGAAGTACCAGTGAATGTCACATAACCCGACACCACAAAAATAATATCCCTTTTATCGGGATCATAAACAACACAACGTTTGGGTAGAGTCTCCCTCGTATCGGGTACTCCCAAATGCATAACTTATGTACATTTCAATTATTTGACCATTCCAAGGTCCAATATACATCATTTCATCCTTAATTATTCTCCATTTACATCCTTTGAGCAAAAGGACTCAAGACTCAAAGGCTTGGCAAGACCATTTTGAATGTTTGAAAATTAAAGGAGACCAACCAGTAAGAAAAAGTTCTACCAGTAGAAAAACTCACATTGAAGTGCTTACTGGAATGCTTCTACAAGTAGATACTCAAAATTCTACTGGTAGAAGTGTTCACTAGAATACTTTTACCAGTAGATACTCCACATTCTACCGGTAGAAGTGTCTATTGGAATTTTTCTACCGGTAGATACTCGACATTCTATAGGCAAAAATGCCCAGTTTGCCTCCATTTCAATTCCAACACTTTCAATCTCATACAACAACAACCCAAACTCATATAACATATAATTTTGACTCAAAACATAGTCCATATGAGCTTGCTTTACAATTCTTTACAAAATATTACATGTCCAAAAACTAAATTACATATTAGTTTTACAAAACATAATTTAAAGCCATATCACGAATTTTCTTTATCAATGAGGGCCTGAGTGAGAACCATTCACTGGTGCATGTCCTGCACCTAAAATATTGTCCTCGTAGAGGGTTAGTCATGCTCAATAGAGTACCTCCTAAGGAGACTACTACCCTAGATGTATACAAAATGCTCACATGCAAATCAACAATCAACAAACATTCTCTTTAAGAATATGAAATTCATAATGGAATTCTCTAAATCATGTCATGATATGAGATGAGACTAACACATGCAACTCAACCCGAGCCTCCACCAGCTCCCATAACACATGCAATGCCACACATATCAATTTGGGCCTTCCAAACCCCCGCCATTGATGTTATACATCCAATGACCATTTATAAATCTTGGGTCTTTCTAGGGTTGGGTATTTATAGACTTACACCAACAGACACCCAACCGACACGACATTTATGGACTCCCACCAACGGCTCCGCATACGTTGACACACTTTATGGACTCGATACCAATGGAATGAGTACCCAAACTCATCGGGTCTTGCACCTGAGAGACAGTTTAGCCCTTCTTGCTAACACTGACCCTATTTTCAATGCAAAACGTGCGACTCGGTTGAACCTTGGTCCAACTTTTTCGAGCCTATGTGTCATTCACCAAGAATGGTGTTTGATCCAAAAACATGCACACACACCCACTCTCATGTCACATGTCCACAAATGCAATGTTTTCCGTGCATATGCAAACGTGATGTACAATTGCATTTTCAATATCAAGTTCAATATGTCATGAGCACAATATGAACAACTTAATATCCCTAAACCTTTTTCCATGGTTAATTACATCATAAGCATATAACCATGATCAACAACCTCAATGTCAATATATCATAATGCATATGCCAACATCAACTCCCAAGCATGTTATAACACTATCAATGCAAATAACACACTTAATCTACATAGGCAATTCATCAAAGACCTTCAGGGCACAGAATCATGTAATACATAATAAGCCCAAATCATCATATTTCTCAAGAAATCACAAAAAGAAATTTCAACAAACCCAATTTATGCTAGAATTGATTTTAACCATTCTTATACTCATTTTCCACATTTCAATTACCCTAGGTATGTGTGATACATGATTACATCTCTGGCACCGTACCCATTTCATATTTCAACCCTATGTTGGAAGTAAACCTAATTAGGGAAGGAATCCTACCTCTTGAAGCGTAAAACAAGTGGTAGAAAAACTCCCAAGACCCTAATCAAGCTCTAACCCTTGATTTGAAAACTCCCATCTTTTGAACTTCATTAAAATTCATGTTTTTTGGTACATAGGCGTAACCCTCGTCGTGTAGATAAACTTTGGTTCTTGGCCTGAGTCGATACGACCAACAGTTTGCTCTAGATTGTAGAGAGAAGATGAAGAAAACCCTTAATTTTTACCTCTCCTCTCCTCTCTCTTTTTTCAAAAATCTAATTTTTCTCCCATATTTATATTCAGATGCTTGGCTCTCATTGCGCCACATGTCCACCCTTTCTAGGTCAGGTTTCATCCCGAATTAATTAAATCTCATCTAGGTTCAAGTTCAATATATTTTTATTTGAACTTACTTTAAATTATTTTCCACTTTTTGTAATTTAATTCCAATTCGCGTGTATTTTTAGTCACTTGATACCCGATTGCCTCGTAAAATACAAAAAATTTGACTATCTCAAAATTCAATTAAAATTAGCTGGGTAATTAGATTTCGCAAGACAAATCCTAAGGTGAAGTTCATTTTGTCATCCAAGTTCTAGAAAAATTTAGATTTTCAACTTGTACCATATTGGCTAATTATCACTTCGCCCTTTTTCATAAAAATTCAAATTTACCTAGATTTTAAATTTTCCACCAGTAGGTCTTAAGTATTCTACTGGTAGGTCTTGCATGGACTCTACCGGTAGATCTTGCATAGATTCTACCAATAGGTTTTGCCTTGTCTTATGATCTCCTTGGTTCCTAGAGTTCTCAAGCCATCCGTCAAAAGGCCCATTCTCCCCCCATTGACCTTAAGCACTTGATGAAGTGCTTTATGCATGCCCTTACTAGCCCATTACCTATATTCAAACAAATTTTCATTCATTATCAATTTGAAACCCTTTCCCTAAATCTTCACCACAAAACAAGTTTAATTGGATGCAATAAAGATGCATAATTGTTTAATAGTCTACACTCATCACACCACCCAACTTGAGCTTTGCTAGTCCCTAGAAAACTTTATTTCCAAACTATACTACATACACAACAATTCCAGTCATGCTAAACAACTCACAAATCAACAGGAAACTCAAATTATATTGCAATTATGTAAATGAACTTGGCCATAATGAAACAAAAAGCAAGGTTCTTTCATTCATGAATAAGTAAGATTCAGTACAAAGAACCCTAGTCAAAACAGCCTGTGATGACTACTCCTAAATCACTATCTTCCAATATTTACAACCAATAAAAGCAACAAAACAAGATTAGACTCTCTCCAATCCTCCTCCTTGTCCTCAGACTTAGCATCCTCACCCTCATCGTCAGACTCATCATCATCATCCTTAGATTCACCCATCTCTACAATAGTCGAGCAAGTGCGGGCAGTTGCCTGGAGGCTAGCACTTGTCCTAAG